TTCAAATAAACAACCTAATAATGCATCCCAAAGATTTAGAAAATAACAAACCAAGCCTAAATCAATAGAAGAGAATTAATTCTAAAGTTCAGAGAAGAAATGAATAAAATACAGACTAACAAATAATACAAAAGATCAATGAAATAGAGTTAATTTTTTGAGAAGATTAACAAAATTGACAAACCTATGAGAAGACTCAAATAAACGAAATCACAGTTGGAGAAGCGGACAATACAACTGATGCCACAAAATTACAAAGGATCTTTAGGAAGTATTATGAAAAATGATACACTCACAAATTGGAAAACCAGAGGATATGGGCAAATGTCTGGATATGATCTATAAAAATTGAACCACGAAGAAATAATCTGAACAAGATAAGGTTGCCCACTTTCACCCCCTCATTCAAAATCATACTAGAAGGTTCAGCTGGAGTAATTGGCAAAGCAAGTAATAAGAGGCATACAAATAGGAAGAGAAGAAGTGTAATTATCCTTTGCATATGATCTAATTCTATATACAGGAAAACCTAAAGACTTCACAAAAAGAATATGAGAACTGATAAACTCAATAAAGTCACAATAGACAAATATCAACATAAAAGTAACTTCTTTATAAACAACAATAAATCTACTGAGAAAGAATGAAAGCAATCCTATTCATAATAGCCACCAAAAATAAATAATAAAATGCCTAGGAATAAATGAAAGCAAGGAAAAAACCCTCTACAATGAAAATTATAAAATACTGATGAAAAAAACTGAGGACACAGAAAGATGGAAACATCTTTCATGCTCTTGGATTAGAAATAGTAATACTATTAAAATTTCCACACTACACAAAATGATCTAAAGATTCAACATAATTTCCATCAAAATACAAACGACATTCTTTAAGAATTAGAAAAAACCACCCCAAAATTCATATGGAAACACAAAAGATCCCAAATTGTCAAAGTAATCCTGAGCAAAGAGAAGGCAGGGGTCATCACAATACCTGATTTCAAGACATACTACAGAGCCACAGTAACCAAAATAACATATTAGCATAAAAATAGAAACAGAGCTCAGTTGGACAGAACAGAGATCCCAGAAATGAACACATTCATCTACATCCAACCAATCAAAAGGAGCAAAAACATACACTGGAGCAAGAATAGGCTCTTCAATAAATGGTGCTAGGAAAACTGTATACCTATATGTAGAAGATCGAAATTTGACTTCTCTCACTCTGTACAAAAATCAACTTAAGATGAATCAAAAACCTAAATGTGGGCCAGGGATTTAGCTTAGTGGTTCTGCTGCCTGCGTCGCAAGCACAAGGTCCCGAGTTCGATCCCTGGTACCAAAAAAACCTAAAACAAAACAAAACAAAAAACCTAAATGTATGATTTGAAACTCTGAAACTACTAGAAGAAAACATAGAGGAAATACTCCAAGATATTGGTATAGGCAATAATTTTTCTGGATAAGACCCCAGAAGCACAGGAAATACAATCATATAAATGGTATTATAGCAAACTAAAAAGTTTTTGTGCAGCAAGGAAACAGAAGACAAGAGACAACTTAAAGAATGGGAAAACACATGCCAACTATTCATCTGACAAAGGGATATTATCCACAATATATAAGGAACTAAAAATCTAACAAAAAGTGATCCAATTAAATAATGGCCAAATGATCTGACCAGGCACTTCTCTAAAGGAGAAGAAATGGCCAACAAATGTGAAAAAGTGCTCACTATCATTAGCCATTAGGGAAATGCAAATCAAAACTATAGTGAGAGTATCTCAGCCCAGTTTCTGGCTATTTCCAAAAAACAACAAATGCTGGCAAGGATATAAAAAAAAGTAACTATTAAAGGGAATGTACATTCATACAAGTCATTATGAAGAACTCTATAGAGGTTGATCAAAAAAAACCTAAAGTAGACCTGCCATATAATCAGCTATTCCACTTTTGAGTATATACCCAAAGGAAATGAAATCAGCATATCAAAGAGACATATGCATATCCATATTTACTGAAGCACTATTCAGAGTAGCTAAAATAAATGTGGAGAAATTGTGGTACCTATGCACAGTGAGTTATTATTCAGCCATAAAGAATGAAATCTTGTCATTTGCAGCAGAATGTATTTAACTGAAAAATATTAGGATAAGTGAAAAAAGCCAGACATGGACAAGTATCACATGACTCTCATATGTGAAAGCTAATAAAAGTTGAAAGTAAATACTGATTACTAGAGACTGGAAATGGTGTCAGCTGGGGAGGGTGGAAAAGGGAAGGCTGGATTTGATTAGCAATATGCTTGCACAGAAGCATCACACTGAATCCCAGTAATCTGTACAATTAATATGTCTTGGGGCCGGGGATTTAGCTCAGTGGTTTCGCCACCTGCTGCCCAAGCACAAGGACCCGAGTTCAATGCCCGGTACCAAAAAAA